TGTAATAATGCAGGGTAATAAAAATGGTATACACTCAGTTTTCAATGGGAGTCACTGATGGTTTCAGAAGCCGGAGAGTAAGAAGATCTGAGGTATGGTTTATGAAGTGTACTAACAAAAATAAGTATCTGAACCTGTAGAGCTGTAAATCCTGGAAAATTTACCCAGCGAAATATTCTATAGATTTCCTAGCCATTGGGCAGTTGAGTGACTGTTCCAATAAAAGGAATTAGACCCACACCAAGCCAGTCATTACTAGATTTCCAAAAGAGAAGATTCTTCAAGTTTCCAGACAAAGGAAACAGGGAAGGGGAGAAGCACATTACATACAAAGGATGAGGGATCAGAACAGCTTTGGATTCCTCAGCAACAACACTGGAACTCAGAAGATAGGGGAGGAATGCCTTTGAAAATCTGAAAGAAAGTAATTGTTAATCTACAATTCTAATCTACCAAGCCAAACTGTCAATAAGTTTTATACAAGCAAAGTCTCTAAACACTTACCTCCCATGAATCTTTCTCAGAAAATACCAAAATAAAGGTATAAGAAAAGAGAAAGGAAAACAAGATATAAAAGAAACAGGAAATTTAATGCAAAAGTGAGGCACAGGGAATCTCCTCCCAAGAAGGACAGACATCTCTACTGGAAATATTTTAAGATGAAATGAATACAATATCTGATGCATTAACTGAAAAAACAAAAACAAAACCCACTGCCATCAAGTCGATTCCAACTTATAACAACCTTCATAGGGTTTCCAAGGCTCTAAATCTTTAGGGAGCAGATTCCTTATCTTTCTTCAGTGGAGTAGCTGGTGGGTTCAAACCACCAACCTTTTGGTTAGTAGCCAAATGGCTTACCACAGCACCACCAGAACGCCTCTGATGCATTAGCTACTCCAATAAAAATAGCAAGCTGTGCTGGAGAAGAAAAGAAATCTTAGTACATGGAATGGCTCATGTGAATAGAATGTACATAGTCATCATAATAGAAAAAAAAGAGCCCTGGTGGCACAGTGATTAAGCACTCAGCTGCTAAGCAAAAGGTGAGTGGTTAGAACCTACCAGCGGGGCAGTCAGCTTTTGTAAAGGGTTGTTGTTGTTGTTGTTGTTATACGCCGTCGAGTCAATACAGCCTTGGAAACCCTATGGGACAGTTCTATTCTGGTCGATAGGGTCACTATGAGTTGGAATCAACTGGATGGCAATAGATATTGAGCATGAGGAGAGAGCTGGAGTGAAAAAGTGAGTTAATATGCATCTCCATAGCATCTTCAATAATAATGCCTAAACTGAAAAATTCAAGTAACATTACACACTACTTAGAGATATAAAAGATGCATGTGTATATATAACATTAAAATTTTTTAAATGCTTCAAAGACAGTGAGTATAATACAACCACTTTAGATATTGGTTGGCAATAGCTAGTAAAATTGAATTTATATCCAGTAAGGTGCCTTGGAAGACAAGCATTAAGAAAGGTCATCGCCTTGATAAAAACCAGTTTCCATCAAGTTGACCCAAATCTACGGTGATCCTATGTGTATCAGAGTAGAAATGTGCTCCATAGGGCTTTCAGTGGTTGATTTTTGGGGAAGTAGATCACCCAAGCCTTTCTTCTGAGGCACCTCTGTTGTTGATGTTATGTGCCGTCGAGTCGGCCCCGACTCATAGCGACCCCTCCTTGGGTTTCCGAGGCAGTATCACTACGGAAGTAGGATTGCCCAATCTTCCTTCCAAGGAGTGGCTGGTGGGTTTGAACCACCAGCCTTCTGGTTAGCAGTCAAGGGCTTTTAGCCACTATGCTACCAGAGGCACCTCTAGGCAGACTCAAACTGCCAAAACTAATTGCTTATGTTAACCCAGGGACTCTACATGATGAATACTTAAGTCACATTATATCTAGATATTTTTGTGTATAAATGAAATATTTCTAGGAGTTTCTGCAAAAGTTCGGGATTTGAAACTCATACATTTACTTTCATTACCTCTCAAAACACCACTAGTGGACTACTATCTCTTATCGAAAACCCTCAGAGCTAGATAGATAAATTTCAGAATTGAAAATTTTTTGGATTTTGGAAAGGCATCATGATACATGCAATGTCATATATTATATTCTATCTTTAATAGTATTCAAAATTAAATGATATTCACAATAAGTACTTTGCACTATTCAGGCTGTTCTCCTCTCCAGACAAATGATCTTCCTGCCTGGCCCTGTATAAACAGCCTCCACTTCTCAAAGCTATGTGGATTCATTTCCAAGGACACAGATTACAGGCAAATCCATGAGGACATCAGCGGCCCTGGGAGGCAATTCACACAGGGTCTGCACTCCATTATGTCCATTATGGATTTATAGGTACCTGGTATATCTCTGGTGCCTTACCTCTACCAAGGCACTAGTGCTCACTGTTCTGTAGCCCAGACCATTGAGTGAGGCACATTTTGCATCTCATTCTTTTTTTTTTTTTGTTAGGATTTGGGTGATTTCTTATTGGACCCATTTTCTGTTTTATTCCACTTATTAGGTAGAATACGGAGAAGGACTCAGCTCTATATCCCAGTTTTCACTCTGCCTCTCTAAAGCCATCATGAGACAGACAGACAGATACACACACATATGCGTGCACACATGTGTGTTTGTGTATATACATATATAAAGGAACCTTGATTGTGCAGTGTTTAAAGCATTCAGCTGCTAACCAGAAGTTTATTGATTCAAATCTACCAGCTGATCCTCCAGAAAATCTGCTTCCATATAGATTACAGCCTTGGAAACCCTATGGGCAGTTCCACTCTGTAGTTCTACTCTAAAGTTCTAGCCTTTAGGGTTTCTATGCTTCAGAATCAACTCAATGGCAATGAGTTTCGGGTTTTTTTTTTTTCTTTTTTAATACATATATACAGGAGTTCCTGACTTATGATGAAGTTCTGTTCTCATGACTCATCCATCATAAGTCAGTTCTGATCTAAGTTGAATATTTATTTTTTTTCAGTTTTCATTATTAGTCCATTATTATCACTATCTTTATAAATCATAACATTGAACATCTGTCAGTGAATATTTGAGAATGATAACATGAACAAACTACGCACTGCAACATTGTATGTAGTGCATATTACTAATGGTAAGATGAATTAAAAAAAGACAATCATAAGTGTGGTAAATTGGGGACTACCTATACATGTACATATATGGATATATGCATGTATATATATACATGTTGATCTTAGGTGCCACTGACTAAATTTCAACTCATAGCAACCCTATGCAACATAACAGAACTGCCTATTAGGATTCTCCAGGCTGTAATCTATTTTTTTTCTTTTTGCTGTAATCTTTACATGAACAAATTCCCAGGTCTTTCTTCCATAGGGCCACTGTGCTGGGTGGGTTTAAATTGCCAACCTTTCAGTTAGCAATTAAGCAGTTAACTTTTATACCACCAAGACTCCTTGATAAATATATATATTTCAAAAAACTCACTGTCATCAAGTCGAATCGACTCACAGTGACCCCTCCTTCGGTTTCCGAGGCAGTATCTCTATGGAGGTAGATTGCTCAACCTTCCTTCCGAGGAGTGGCTGGTGGGTTTGAACCGCCAGCCTTCTGGTTAGCAGTCAAATGCCTTAGGTACTACACCACCATAGCTCCCATATAAACATATATAGATATACTTTCATCTTAGATTTCCTTGCATTGATTTCCTAATGTAACTAATTAACCTTAATTTGGACTCATTTGCTAATATGTATTTCTCCTCATTCCCACCACTCATAACCCAGGAGACCCTTATTTCTAACTTTGCTGCTGACATCTTGCTAACTCCACCTACCCTTGGGTAAGGTTGCCCTTCAATCCCAGCATAATATATAATCATCCTTCAGAAGTGACAAATACCTATTTATTCCTAAAAGCTGAACAATCTTTTTATTTTTATTTCTGATTAATCTGACATTAATGAAATAAAGAACATTGTGCTTGACTTTTGTCCAAATAAACATCTGTTGTGGGAATCCATATCTCCTGGCTATTATCACAGGTAACATTCTGAATTGATGTTCAGCAGTAAAAATCAATACTCAAGTCATCAACTATCAAATTCAGTGAGCACAGCACATAACTGTGAAAAGGGGAGAAAAAATATCTCTTTCCTCCATAAATACAAAGAGGCCCAGCCAACTACCTCTATGTTGGTCAGGCTCCTTTATTTAATGTACTTACCAAAGTAAGTAGTTACTTGTAGTAGTAGTTACTTGTTGTAACTACAAGTAGTTACAACAAGTAGTAACTTTGTAGTAACTTTGTAGTACAAAATAAGTAGTACAAGTAGTAACTTTGTAGTACAAAGTTAGTTACTTGTAGTAGTAGTTACTTGATTTACAAGTAAGTGGTTACCTGTAGTAGTAGTTACTTGAGGAAATCAAGCCTGGCAAAGCATTCTCCAGGGGAATGCCACCAACTCTTCCTTGGTAGGTATTAAGGGTTGATTTGTGTCCTCCAAAAATATATGTTTAAGCCATAACCTCTAGTACCTGTGAATGTGACCTTATTTGAAAATAGCATATCTGCAGATTTAATTAGCTAACATAAAGTCATACTGGATGAAGCAAGGTGGCCCTTAGTCCAATATGACTGGTGTCCTTATAAAACAAGGAAAAGAGACACAGAGACAGACACAGAAGAAAGAAAGCCACATGAAGACAGAGGTAGATATTGGAGTGATACATCTACAAGCCTGGGCACACCTGGAGCTACCAGTAACTGAAAGAGACAAGGAAGGATCTTCTCCAGAGCCTTCAGAGAGAACACATCCCTGCTGATACCCTGAATTTTGACTGTAAGAGAATAAATTTCTGTTGTGTTAAACCACCCAGCTAGTGGTACTTTGTTACAGCAGCCATAAGAAACTAATACACGAGGAAAGCAATAACCCAGCTTTGGAGTAAGATGATAGCAAATAAAGGGAGAAAGCCAAAATCCCTACTTACCATAGAAGAGGAATGCTTTGGTCATGTGGTGGTGCAAGTACGTCCGGTTAATGGTGAAGAAACAAGTATCTGCCCCACATTGGCCTAGCCTTCCAGTTTCCCCCGTCAGCGGGGACCACCACAGCATAATAGGGTAACTGTCAGTTTCAGATGATTTTTTCCCATTTGGAGTCAATGTGTCTTTCTTAAGGAATGAATAGAGATATTTAGGCTCTTTCTCCAAACTTTTATGTCCATTTTGCAAACTGGAATTTTCAAACTTCCTCCTTTCAAATTTTCCCAACTCAACAACTACCTAAAAAAGAAAACAAATATTACCAGAGGAAGAATATTTCATTCCTTCGCTTTCCCATTCAGCTGGATGATTTACCATTTGTATTAGTTACCTGTTGCTTCTTTTACAAGTTACCAGACATTTAATGGCTTAAAACAAGACAAATTTACTACCTTACAGTTTTGTAACATAGAAGTGCATGTTTCACTGAGATAAAAACCAAAGGGTCAGCAGGGTTACATTTCTTTCTTAGGACTCTAGGGGAGATTTCAGACCCCTGCCTTTTCCGGTTTCTAGAGGTCACCTGCATTCCTTGGTCCTTAACCTCCTTCTTCAAAAACAAAAATTTCATCTCTCTCTGACTTTTCTCTATCATCAGATCCTTCTGAACACTGCTGCAAAAGATTTCCTGATTTTAAGGATTCATATGATTCAGGTAAGCCCACCTGGATAATGTAGGATACTCTCTTCATCACAAGATCTATAACTTTAGAAGGTTCTCCTAAGATGGCAGAATAGGGAGACAAACCACACAGACCCTCTTCAACAAAGAAAAAGGGAACTAATTAATACAGATACAGAAGATAATCCTGGAGCTCTAAACTTTTAAAGGAAGGATACAGAAGTGGACTAAACTCCAACTAGTAGAAGAACCCACATGAAAACACCAAAAAAGGAGACATACGGAGCTACAGTCCGCCAGCAATCCTGACAGCATGGACAGCTTGGATATATATTGTCAAATGGTGTAAGGACCTAAGAATTAACCTGAAAATAGGCCCTCCTAGCCAGGGGCTACACAGAGGACTGCACTGGTGGCTGGTGAATAAAAGGGGAAGTAGCAAAGAAGGAGATGGGCTGAGCTGTGGACTTTTGCTTGTCCAGACGGAGCAGCCATTTTGAATGTTTACAACTGGTTCAACCATTTTAGATATTTAACGCTACAGTGTTCTCTAAGATTCCAGAAACCTAAGAATAGGCTCCACTTCTCAGGAACCACAAGGACATTCCAGATGCAAACAACTAGAAAGGTGTGATATTCTCCTTGTTATTCTTATACCCACACCCTCTTGGTGAAGGGAAGTGTGGCCATCCCTCACTCCCACCCACCTTCTGGGCCAGCAGGAATTCCATCACAGTCTGTGTGTTCGGACAGAGCCTCGGTGCCCTACCCCTCCCTGCTCATATTTTTTTTGTCCTTTTCTTTTTTTAAAGTTTGTTTTTGTCTGTTTGTAAATTATTACTATTATTATTTTTTTTCTTTTGTCCTTTTTATTATTATTGTTTATTCTTCTCTTCCCAGGATCTAGTTTTCAGCTTTTTCTCTCTGCCCTGTTCCTAATTCCCATTTATTTTCTTTCTCATGGTTAACCCCATTCTTTGTTTTACTTTTTGCATTTTTCCTATTTTTTTTCTTCATGATTCTCCTACTCTACCTTTTTTCTCTTATTGCCCCCTCCCCAGATTGTGCAGGCTTGTTACTCTTTTCTTTCTTTCTTTTCTTTTTCCTTTTTTTGGTGATTGTTCCAGTACATTTATGTGGTGTGTTTGTTATCTACTTCCTTTTACTTTTTTAATGGTTTTTTGATCCTTATTTTGGTCTTAGTGAGAGAGAGCAACCATGCTCATATGACACAACCACAATCACACCTCCTGCAGCTCCACTTACTGAGTGAGAGCCACCACTTCCTTGTTCACCAACTGGCCAACGATAAATGACCACCAAGAAGAGCCTGACTCACCCTTAACTGCTGTTCACAAACAGTTAACAGAGATCTAATTACAACAGTGTCACAAAGTCTCAGAGACAACAGACCATCACAGTTCACACAAAAAAGCAAGATAAAGTGATAGAAATAAGGGAGCAGGATACAGACACAGAACACATTACTGAGGAAGAAGCAGCACTGGAACTCCCTGATAAGGAATTCAAAAGAATTATACTTACGTACCTTCAAAGGATTGAGTGAAAGATTAAGAAAAACACTGAAAAAATTAAGAAAAAATATAGATAAAATCCAAGAACAATTTTGAAAGAAAATACAAAAACAAAATGACAGAATAAATGAAAAACTAGAAATTATACAAAATCTACAGATAGAAATACAAAAGATTAATAGTAAATGTTCAGAAATAAATAAACATTGAAAGGGCAAATGAGTATTATCAAAACAATGAAAGACAGAATTGAGATGGAAGAGAAATATCTGAGTACTTCTTTGGAAAGGAATCAGTCAGAAACAAGATCAAAACAAAATGAAGAAAGCCTAAGGTTCATGTGGAATACCATCACAAGGAATAACCTATGAGTAATTGGAATTTCAGGAGGAGAAAAAGAAAACCACTGAGAAAATTGTCAAAGATTTGTTAGAAGAGAATTTCCCTGATATGATGAAAGATGAGAACATATCCATTCAGGAAGTCCAACGAATGCCAAACAGGACAGACCTCAAAAGAAAATCACCAAGACATATCATCACCAAACTCAACAACACCAAAGACAAACAAAAAATCCTGAAAGCAGGACAGGAAAAACAAAAAGTTACATACAAAGAACAACCAATAAGAATAAACTCTGATTTCTCAGCAGAAAACAGGCAAGCAAGAAAGAAATGGGATGGTATAAATAAAACCCTGAAAGAGAAAAATTTCCAACCAAGAATTGTATACCTGGCATAATTGTCTCTCAAATGTTGTTGTTGTTGTTAAGTGCCGTCGAGTCGTTTCCGACTCATAGCGACCCCATGCACAGCAGAACGAAACACTGCCTGATCCTGC